TGGCGGCATAACGTTATCGCCTTCGTAGACCCAGCAATCTCAGCAAAGGCAGGCCTGGAATTTGGAGGCCCACTCGAGAAATAGGAGACCCGCCCACATGAAAGTTCCGACATGACGTTATCAGCCCTATGATACTCCCCCAGAATTATTAGGCCTCCAGTACAATAACTGCCTGCCATCATGATCACGACAGCAAGAAACTGGGATGGGAAATTATGAAAATCCCATTGTAGTGAACGGAGAAGAGTCACCACGGACCCAACTAAGATGGCTTCCAATTGCCACAAATCCATTCTATTGTGCGCCATCTCCAGTTCTTTTTCTTAGCTCAGTGGATGCGAGGCACTGCACCCTTCCAGACGCGACCGCCATCTTACTTGCACGAGCAAGGTTTTCCATAGCAGACACATGGGGAGGGAGAGAGTAAAAAAGACAACTTGCACCAAGCTATATGCCTGGGGACCTTCACGCCGGGACCCAAGCAATCACGTTATTCATAACCACGTTCGGGACAGTCCCAAGGTGACGGAAGCACTTGTATCTCTCGAGGCAGCGAAGGCCTCTCCAGAGACATCTGTATACACTCCATGGGTATTCCTGACAGGGATGTCTGACTCCTGAATATGAGATGGTTGATGATAAGATAAAAACTTCTATGAATTTGAATTTCCCCACGCTTCTCCACCAGATTCTCCCAAACAATGTAAGATAGTCCCATCAATCCTACCGATCGGCAACATTTAGGCTTTTAATCCGAGCCACATGAGCAGGGATCTACTTAGACTGGATGCAATTTCTGTGATGAAAAAAACGCATACAAAACGTTAATTGTATATAGGATGAATTCTATTTAAAAAAAAGCTTTATTTTCAACCCTTTTCCCTGGAAATATCTAATTCACGTAGTTCCTTGAACGCATAATTTGAACTGTTTTTGATTGTTTTGAATTTTGAATATGTAAGCAGTTAATAGAACTATTCCAAGGACGTTAATGGAACGCTGGCCATAACATCAGTGAAACGTTAATAGAACAAATTCAGGTCCTACTACGGTGGTGGTCTCTGAAGATCATGGTGATTCCTTCCACGACAACAGAGTATTTCCTTTCCTCCAGTTTCCAGTAGGTTTCACCTGCCACTAGTGCCCTTTGACAAGTAAGGGCAAAGGAGTGGGATTTAGTGCTCATCATGTTGAGACGATTTCTAGTAACTTCTGCTTTTAATATACTTTTCCATCACATTTATTTATGGGAATGAATATAGAGAAACCCTTCCTCATGCTCCGGCTCCTTCTCTTATGCATGCTCCTGCTCCCGCTCCGGAACTTGCTCCGACTCCTGCTAATTCTGCTCCGGAAAGCCGTCTCCAAGATTCCCCTTAAAATAATTGTTTTCCATGTAGATGCACCATTCACAATTTCAGAATTCAAAGTTTTCCCTATGGTTTCTTTCCCTTAGAGGCGTGCAATTGGATCAATACTAGGCATTTGCTAGACTTTGTTTTATACTGATATACCCTACCAGGCATTTTAAAAGTATAGTATCGTTCATAATAAAAAGAGCAGTTTTGCACGGTGACTATTAATCGGTCTCTTGCGATCCAATAACTCTGTCTGTTGATATGGTCTTTCCTATAACGTAAACCTGTCGCCCGAAAACTTCAAATTGTTTTTAATTTCATCAAAACTTCCATTATGAGCTCGTAGATCCATCTCCGAGACTCCTCCGACAATTTTGACCCACATGAACCAGGGAATACGTTTAAGGCAGAGGTCGGGAACCTTTTTGAGCATGTGAGCCAAATTAAAATTGAGCTTAGTGCTCGTGAGCCAAAGATTTTCAAAACAACAGAATTTTTCCTGTGGTTGGCAACAGTCATGTGCATTCTTTGTCATGAAAAAAACGAGGAAAAACCATGATTTTTAGCCATGACTCATGAGCCAAACTTTCCGGCTCGTGAGCCAAATTACGCTCATGAGCCATAGGTTCCCGCCCCTGGTTTAAAGGAACGCTGACATCGCTCAATGCAGTGCCTCTCGAGGGGCGCAAACTGGCGCTACGGTGGCGGCATCTTTTGAAGCAATCTTTTTGGGGCCATGCCTGTGAAACCACGTGCTTGCCATGCCGGAGCACTGCTCTGATCCCAACCGCCGAAATAGTGGTGGAAGTGAGGCCGAAAAAAAGCTTTCCGAATACGCTTTTCATTAGGCAATAGTGTTTAATATAGGCAATAGAGATACAAAAGTATTTTCCTGATTGTGAGCCAAATGGATAATACTTACTTTTCATTACAGTTTTTCCCAATTGCTAACGTCCGTTTCTCGGAACTATGCTTCCGTTCTCAAAACTATTTGAAGGAATCCCAAAACTCCAAAACATCCGATTTCATTGCTAACGTACGGAAAGAGAAACACGAAGCGCGATTTTCATATATTTACGTACCTTTTTCGAAACCTGACGTAAGGAAAAGGATAAGAAGACCGATTCGACGAGTGCGGACGATGGATGCTTGCTTTCTGACGGCAATCTCTATCCTTCAAAATTTCTTCCAACTAATGACAGAGGTTTTATCATCGTCCAGAGTTGTCAGAGCTGAATGCTCCTTCTAAAACGTTGAAGTAATTTCTAATGTCGATAAAGCAATGTAGTTGGCAGGCAATAATGCCGACTGCTATTCAGAAGAATCCAAATTACCTGATCCTGAGTATTTACTTACGATTAATTTCTGTTCAATATAATCAGCTAAAAAGGGTTGAAAAGAGAGAAAAGAGAAGGTCATTTTACGGTCATTTTTGTTCATCATAGGTTACAAAATTGTTATGACCTTGGGACCCATTTTTGTGTGTAGATATGAGTGTTCATTGCGAAAATCTCCTGTTATTATCTACAAATCTTTCCAACTCATGCTCGCTCTATTGGCTCGTTGAGGGGTCTTCGACCGGATACAACGCCCTGCACCCTTTTGAGTGACGGCACAAGTCAAGTGACTCCTCAAAATAACAGTATGACCTTATTAGGGTGTGGGAAGATAGTAATGGGCTCGACCGGCAGAAACCGTGACCTGTTGTGAAGCAGGAATGTGCAATTTCCCGCTCAACGAAGGCGGGAGGGGATGAATGGGAGGGGGGGGAGGAGTTTGTGTGCTTTCAAGCAGCACCTCGTCCGTATTTCTTATGCGAAATAATCTCAATGGGCGGTTTGATGATTTCACAGGAGTAAATCTATTTTGGTTTGATCCTGGTTGATCACTGTTGAAACACCCGCTGTATACACATCCACTCAACAACCGAGCCTAGACTGTATAAGTTGTCAGAGTAGAAGTTGAGGACAAGAGGATAAGTCCTCATTGTATGATCCGCAAAACTGTAAACATCTTTTATGAACAACAAATATAGAGAAACGATGTCAGTGTATCGGCACGAACGCATCATCGGCCAGATATAGCGCCATCTATTATATTACACATTGTCATACGGCATACGTGCCTTCACTGAAATATATTTTGCAATAGAACACATTGCTGGTGTCGTTTTAGAACGAATTTAATGCACTCGCGTCAAAACTTAACGTCCTTGCCTCGAAAAGGAACGTACGCTCCATTGATTGACATTAGGGAGGTCCTGGTCGATTTGACCAGGTACGGCTGACAGGGCACATCGATCGTCGAGACTCGTCGCCTTCCCGTTAACAGTAATGGATCGTCCCAAGAGTTTTACCGAAGTTGCCTTAAGTTTCACATTTATATCCAGCATAGGATGATGGAGTAGATCTGTTGACCATGGAATCGCAGATGAATCCGCATGCCACGTCACTCACGCGATGACTCACACCACACGGTCATTTTTCAAGGCAATTTCCTTAATTTGAAAAAAAATTCTCGAAATCGGAGCTGCCTTTCGGAATTACATGGAGATCTAATCGAAATTCACAAAACGAATTGTAGGTACTATTATCATCTTCAATATAAGAGCGGAAGTTTGTACTTGCAAATTGATGCCTATACGTCCTATACACGAAAATCGTCCATCAACGAACGTTGATGGACGATCTTCGTGAATTTTAGAACTGTGAAAGTTAGAACAACTGAAGTCTACTCGACATTATTTTACTCTTTTGGTGAGCATGGAGTCGCGCTCCAATGCTCATAACAGGGTATGTCGTTGTTTCTGTGTATTTAGCATCGCGATTTCAAGAATCTTCATTATTCATGACCAATGGACATTTCCATGAAAATGAACGTGTGAAAAAATGAAAAGTGCAAAAACAAATTCACGGGTTTGTGCTCCTTCGTCTGTCCACGAAAGTGCTTTTTTTAATGAAAAGGCTATTGTGGCGAATTTCACGAGAATTTTTTTGTTAGAGAGAAGGGATTTTAGAATCGCTGTTCTTCGACAGTGATTATAATTCATGAACGTCAAAACTTCGATGCTCTTACAACGTTGCATCAATACGATTGCTGTGCAGATTGGGTATTTCCACGACAGACCACTTCGTTTCCATCGGTGTGATTTACCTGTTGCAACTCGTGATTCAAACCGAAGGACTCCGGTTGTGAAGTAAATTAGGTCTACAGGTACATGGATCGTACAATTCTGACCACTAGGCTGGGCGAGTGAGAAATGTATATTTATGTGTATGTGTGATAGCTCCACACGGCAAATGCTTCGAAATGTAAACTGGGCGTTGCAACACAAATCTTTCTTACCTGCCGAGGATGTGGCTTTGAGTAATGATCGGCCTTACGGAAGGGGTTGAGTTTAATTTCACGGAAAATAGGATATTCGCTTACGTCTCCCCATCATTGGGATGGGGTTTGTGCTTCTGATGATTTTCCAGGACGATCGACGAACCAGGATATTTACCAAATTAAACTCATCCCGTCGTGCTATTCAGGGCCAGAAGCGATGGGTTGAGCGGTTTCAGTGAACCATCGGCTGAGTGATGTGGCACGTGAAGGCCATTTTGCAAAGCCAAGGTCACCAGACGTATCCCTTCGACATAAATGGAGTTCACGTGTGGACTCCATAATCTCCTGCCGTGTTTTTGGATCGCTAGTTACTATAGCGAAGGCGGTATGTTCCGGGCCCACTCTGACAGACTCATCTATGCCTGAGGAAAGAACGTACATTTCTTGTACCTCGGAGGGAAGGATCCCAGTGAAGACCTTTATGGGTGGGACGAAGTACTGCACATCCCTGATCCCTCCTCCATCAAAGGAACCACAGGAGTTGTCATCCAGGACGCTCTCTTCCGCCTGGGTGGGGGGAAAAGTCCCTGGGAAGCAGGCTGGCTGAACCTAGAGACGGAGTCATGGGCAAGTCTCTCCCGCATGAAAGTAAGGAGATGCAAGGAAACGTCGGTGATGAGAGATCCACACACCATCCTAGATATTGGTGATGAAGAACCCGGAACAGGGAGACACCTCTCTAGCGTTGCATGCTTGAACACGAGAACAGGACAATGGTCTCCCTTCCCGGATATCCCTTTTCATTTCAAGGGTCATGCAACTACAGCGCACAATGGACAGTAGTACGTTTCGGGGGGATGGGATGGGCGGGTAACCCACAGTAACCTATGGAGATGCAGCATGGTTGACGAAGGATATTGAGAGGAACTCCCTTCTTAAAAAAATATATTCAGTTTCTTGAGACAGTAACCTTGGCTGTGGATAGAGAAGAATGGATGTCTCAAGGGGCACTCCCATTCCGAAATGTCTGGACAGCGACGGTAATGATAAAGTTTGCTTTTGCATCGAAATTTCCCTCCCTTCCATCCATTGGCTGTATTATGTCGACATTCCAGGCAACCTTTCACTCCACCTAATCCTGTAAAATATTCTTGGGTGTTTATTGGCTGGTTCAATCGTATTTAGCTCGGTTGTGTAGAGGAAAAGTACTTGTCCGTCAAATAGGAGGTACTGCGATTGATTCCCAGCCGTTCTATTGTTTTTCTTTCTTCATTCCATCTGTACTCTTCCCCCCACCCTCGGGTTATTACGTTCATGAGAGTGGATCCGACACCCGCAATGGCCTGAGGGAAGGTGCGAGCTAGAGAGCGAGACTGACACGGAGCCGGGCGGAAGAAGGCGCCGCGCAAGCGCATATGGCAATGTGCATTGTGCATGTAGCAACTATCTATATACGTACATAACGACCGACATCTGTCTGTATGACCGGATTTTGTGGTGAACTCCTCCTGGGTTTCTCAAATGATTTCCGCCAGCGATGCCTCATTGGATTTGTATTTTCCTGCAGATGGTACAATTTATTATAGATTTTTCTTTCAGAGATTACCTTTGACATGACTACGATGACTTCTCATAGTAATTTTGAACCCAGATTCCTGTGTGCTATATCGTCCGAAAAGCCTGAATTTTCTCTTTTCGAATTTGTTTTCATTTCGCGAACCTGTTGACATTTGATCCTGTTGTGTTGAGAGTGCGCTAGCGCCATCTCTGTACATTAGAGATAACTGCTACGTACGGCACCAGTTTCCTACGCTTGATTTCTCATCAAAGCTCAGATTTCTTAGTTGCACTGAGAAGTGCTCGTCGTTCTCATCACCCGCGGGAATATTATTACTTCGGCTATCGGTATTACCGCATGTTTAATTAGGTTTTTGCTGAGTTTTTCTCAAGAAATAGATGAGAGGAAAGGAAGAAAAGTAAGAAAAGAAAGAAAAGGAAGAAAATATCCCTTGACAACATGTGAGACTAGGCCATGCTGAACGTAATGCTTAACATAGACTCATTGTCGACTTGGGTGCCACGAATGTCGTACTCATTCTGCCAAACGACATTGTGTCAACATTGACAAAAAGTTTAAACGTTGAGAGAGTATTGAAGGAATTAGTTGCATCATTCAAGTAGTAAACTCCAGTTCTGCTCCAATCAAAGAAGTTACTCGGATGGACCCTTCCGCGGCATAATTGGAGTCATTAGAATAATTTCAAGTTCTAATAAATATTAGTGCACGTTTTCTTTTACTTTTCTTCGCCTAAAGTTGGAAAAATGTTTGTGCTTTTGATGATTTTCTAGGATGATCGGCTAACCAGGATATTCACCAAATAAAATTTATCCCGTTGTGCTATTCAGGGCGAGAATTGATGGGTTGAGTGGGTTCAGTGAACCATCGGCTGAGCGTTGTGACACATGGAGGCATTTTTGCAAAGCCAAGGTCACCAGACGTATCCCTTCGACTTAATTTCGACATAAATGGAGTTCACGTGTGAACTCCATAATCCCCTGCCGTGTTTTTGGATCGCTAGTTACTATAGCGAAGGCGGTACGTTCCAGGCCCACTCTGACAGACTAATCTATGCCAGAGGAAAGAACGTACATATCTTGTACCTCGGAGGGAAGGATCCCAGTGGAGACCTTTATGGGTGGGACGAATTACTACACATCCCCGTTCCCTTCTTCGTCAAAAGAAACACAAGAGTTGTCATCCAGGACTCTCTCTCCTCCTGGGTGGGGAGAAAAGTCCCTGGGAAGCAGGCTGGCTGAACGTGTGAACTCCATCGTGAGACCAAGAAGCTCGAAATTCTAAGCAATTAACTCTGGAAACTTGTTGTTACCGAACTCAACTTGGGATTCTCTTAGCCATTCTCTCTTCCATTGAAACCGGATCGATATGTCACGAGCCGTCAAATTTGATCTTTGCGAAGGAACTGAAACTTGCGGTGCAAAGGCGCCTTCGTGAGAGGGATCAATCTGGAACATCAATGCCAATATCTTGAGGATTGTCATCTGAGGAGCATTGTCGAATTTTCAGGTTTAATCTCGATTGTATGCTTAATATTTCGCCCACCAACGTCTTCCACCACAAAGCGTTTCATCAGCACCTTTGCAAAATATACCTCAACTCGGGTTGAGATTTCACGGAGTGCCACCCACATATTGCAAAGAATTGAAGCGATACAGTGTCAGTCGTGATCTACCTAGAAAACCCCCCGAGATATCAGAATGGGATGAATGCGCATTAATCATCTTTCGTTCAAGCAATCTCGTCATTTCGGAATTGGCTTTAGGTTAGATGAGAAGGCTGCAAAGACGAACGTTAGAATAGCAGAGGTGCTTATTCCGGACGGGTTTGTCTTCGGTACGAGAGCCCACTAAGAGATTGCTCCAACATGCAAAGTCTACCAATTGAAAGGTGAAACCAAACAGTTGTTGAGATGTATGAAGCAGAGAATGCCATTCGCGTAGGCAAACGGGCGATCGAGCGGAAGAAGACGAGGAATGTGGTGCAGCTACGAGGACACTAAAGCTCGGAATGAAGTCAGCGAACCTAGAGGTCCAAGAAATATCAACGCCACGAAGAACAATCTTAAGACCCTTTTACAGTAAAGCCAGCAGAAGGAGTGGAAAATCAGATGCGTCCCCCAAGTACGACGGTGGGGAGTCAACTCCCTCCTCCACACCTGAGAATCGGCACGTGGAGGAGGATGTGGGAGCTGAAGTCCATGAGCTGTTATTAGATGCAGGTGCGGAGGATGACGCGAGGATCTGTTGTGGAGTGGAAATTTCATCACGTGCAGGCCACTTCCAAGTATATAAGCTCCTGCCGTGATTCCCATTCAGTGCCACTACACAGCGACCACATCGAAGGAGCCAACTGACCTGCATCGTTTGCGAGTTTCTCAGACGTGGAAAAGTGAGTCTTTGGCGTGATCCTCTCCGCCATTCGACTTTTTCGTGAGGTTTGGTCGAGCATCATTTCCGAACACTAATATACTGCATCTTGTTTCGGTAATTGATGTTAATGAGGAGGTCTTTAGGGCCGAAGTAAAAATTAAAATAATTCTGTATGGTGAAGCTGAGATTTTATTTCCCGCCACGGTTGTTTCTCCAAGCCATGGCTTATTTCAGATTTAGTATTGCAGTGCGAACTTGTGTTGCAGAGTGGGAGAAGAAAATGAAGTTCCAGCTGGCAACGACAATCTTGGCAACGATGCTCTTCCTTGCAGCTTTGTGGCAGAGTGTTCATGCCGACGGCTGCGAGGAATCATCTTGTGTTGCCAAGTGCCAACAGGGGAAGTGTGAAACGGGAGCGTGCTTGGGCGAGAAAGGCAGCGAAGTCTGTAAATGCAACATTTGTCCAGCTAGCTGGAATTTGTGCTGGGGCAGTTTTTGTTTCAACCAAGATTAATGGATTCCAACTCCTCCCTGGATCGTCATACCATTTCCTGGGAATAAACGTTGCTGAATGATAGTACAAGCTGAAGTTATTTACGCTTCCGAGAAGGTGCCCCTGGAAAACTGGAAGGAAAAAGGGTAAAAATCGGAAATGTAACCCGAATACGCATTCCAGATGGTTTGGCTTCCCTACGCAGGACTTCCTTCCTCTCTTCCTACGAGGGAAGAGATTACTCGAACCCTTCTTTTTACCCATTCATGTCACATTTACAAGTTCGTTTAAAAACAGGCCAAGAAAAAAAGTATTTCCCGTTGATGCAATCATCAACATCATGTGGCAGGTACTCCTCTTTGCCAATTCGTATAATTGCTTCTCGCACACGTTAACTCCATCCACGTTGAAGTCATAGGAGGCGAGCATGAAAGGTGACCTTGGTTCTGCAAAAGCGCCTCCTTGTGCCACATCACTCAGCCGATGATTCACTGAAACCGCTTCTTTTTACCGATCATTAGTCCCGTGTGGGGTCCGAGCGTTCGTATAAACTGAAATTAGCTTCCATCTATTAAATAGTCACGAAAGGGACAATCAAAACGCGTTCCAAGGTTTCACTATGCATCCACCGTGAATCATGAAGTCTTGACCCTATAAATATTTTACTATGGTATAACTCTTATTTCCATTGAAATTAACTTTTCAATTAAAAAAACCCTAATAATGAAGCCGAAAATTAACGTTCACTTTTAGATTTCGATGATGACGATAATGATGTCATTATACAATAAATCTGTAGAGGCATACCCTTAAAAATGGCGTTCAGTGAAGAAAACAAGCACGTTATCGAATGTTTAAGACAGAACAAACATTAGGGAACGACGTGATTGCTAAAAGAGCGGTGAACTTCATCGCGATTTTTTACTTTTGCATTACAATCGTTCATGAATTCATTCAACTGGACTAAGAAATATGAATTGTAATGAAATGGTTTGCTGGTCCTGGTTTTATGAATCACAGGGCATAAAAAAATTGGTCTGCTGCAAGAAATGAGGTTCACGCCAATTCAACTGCTTTCCAATTTTTTTTTGCTGATACCATCTAGTTGAAAAAGCCGAATATGCTGCATGTTTTTGATTCGCTTAGTGACGAGGAGTAGAGAATCGGCTGGATCCCCGAAGGACGACGGTAGGGAGTCAATTCCCTCCTTCAGACCTGAGAATCGGCACGTGGAAGAGGATGTGGGAGCTGAAGTCCATGCGATGCTATTAGTTGCAGGTGCGGAGGATGACGCAGGAGGATCTCGTGTGGAGCGAAAATGTCCTTCCGTGAAGGCCACTCCGAAATACAGTATATAAGCTCTCGCGCGATATCCACTAAGTGCATTTACACGGCGACCACAACGGAGGAAGCACCTGACCAGCAACCTTTGCGAGTTTCCCGGACCCGAAAAGGCAAGATTACCCCATGAGCCTCAGGTCTTTTTGGTGGAAACGGATATTTGAACATTTGAAACTCGATTTTTAGTGTGCCAGTGAATTAAACGCGTTCTCTTTTCAGGGTGATGCTTCAGGATATCAGTAACGGCAGAGAAAATCGTGAGTGGCTGCGAAATGGATCAATCCGAGACATCTTCGCGCGTTCACGGCAACCAAGATCACGAGAAAGAAAGGTCACTCAGCAGATAGGCGATGAGCGTTTCCTTAGGTCAATTAAGCCTTTTAACGCTAAGATCTCCATCCATAGAATCATTATGAGAATTTCGCGCGTTCACGGCAACCAAGATCACGAGAAAGAAAGGTCACTCAGCAGATAGGAGATGAGCGTTTCCTTGAGTCAATTAAGCCTTTTAACGCTAAGATCTCCATCCATAGAATCATTATGAGAATGAGGAATTTTTCCCTCCACGGACGACTGAGCTCCCCATGCCACCTGCGATGGCGCTTGCGGTGTGGTCCTCACTTCCTCATCCAATCAAGAGATGGCGCCAACGCAATAGTCCTCAGTTCGTCGTCCCCTCCAGAGATGGTGCTTGGATTGGTGGCACGAGAGAGCCTCTCATGGACTTGGTTCTCGTCACCTCCCGTCTCCCTGGCAACATTGTGTCATTTTACGGAAAGTCATTGAAAATTCACGGAAATTCCTCACACTCAAAACATATTCCTACCATTTATAATGAACAAGGCCAAGGACTTACCTTTCGGTCGTGATGAAGGCGAGGGAACTGGTGATGGAGGTCACGAGGAGATCACGTCTAGACTACTCTATTTCTCAACTTACAGCAGCTTTTATACCCTCTCTTTCCTCCTTCCATGGAGTGGTCGACCTTGACACACCCCCTTCCTATGCAAGATATCCATCTCCCCTACTTCCAGGCTTCCTTTCCCCCTTCCCCTTTGATCTGATTACGAGTCCGTTGGCGAACGAATTTCTTCCCTCTTGTCTCCCACTGTCTCTTCAAAGCACGCTGTGCCCATTTCCTTCGTTTAAATGTGAATTCTCCCACGTGTGAAATCCAAATGGAGTTTCAGTAAAGAGACGTGCTCGCAGGTTCCGTCTTCTATTTCCTTAGGTTGGGAGAAGAATACCATTTCTTCTTACCGAAGGAAGTAGATGTACATTCCAACAACGCATGTGGGGCGGGGTCATAAATTATGCAGACCCCCGCAGTACTGGTATTAATAATGGATGTGTCCCTACCATGGAAATGCCCCTAATCGGTTTTTTTTATTTATTTACACCGAAATGCTGCGCCAATATTAACCCCGGTCGCCTTTTCGTCGAAATGCCTGGGTTTCGAAACCCAAAATATCCTCCCCGAATCCAATAGGTCAGGAGACCTATAAGACCCTATAGGGATCCTAGCCTATCCTAAAGGATCCTATAGGTTTTTCGTGTTTGAAAAACCTATAGGAAAGTCTATANTATCCTAAAGGATCCTATAGGTTTTTCGTGTTTCAAAAACCTATAGGAAAGTCTATAGGTTTCCTATAAGAAATAACTATAGGTTTCCTATAGGACATTTCCGTAAGGGTAGATTCCATCTATTGCAACCACACGGAAAACACGCAGAGCGGTCTCTCCTTTGCGATGCCTTCGACCTTGAAGGGCATGCTTCGCTTCACTTCTAACTTTGGAACGAGACAAAACAAATGTCCCAAACCCAAGGTATCCAAAGTGGGTGGTCAATAAAGAAAACCAAAGACATCTTACACTGTAACCTTAAAACGCGAGGCAGGCAGGCGCATCACGAAGAAATATCCGACTTTTTCGTTCCCTTTTTTGACTGAATTCGGCGCAGAAGCTGAAGATGATGAAGCTGAGATGAAATTCTTTCTCTATGGTGATGCAAGAAAGGAACTGTTGTCGAAGATCGCAGACCATTCGGACCATTTAGTGAGTAATTCCCTGAAAACAACATTCCCCGTGAAACATGTCAATGGAACAATATTCCATGTCATGGCTTTTCATATTATGACTTTTTTTCAACTTCATGTTGTTGCTTCAGATTCGGGCATTGAGCTCAATAGCTGACTGGCAGGGCATCATTCTAAATGATGAAGGTACATTTCCTAAATCGGAGAAATCAAGTAATTTCTTCTCACCCCTGTTTTTCCAACAACAAGTTTCCAGTAGTTAATTTACGTTTGCTTAGAATTTCGAGCTTTGTGTCGATCTCATGATGGAGTTCACACGCGAAATCCATTCATGTCGAAGCCATGCGAGGCGAGCAAGTGTGGAAACCTTGGCTTTGCGAAAAAGCCTCCACGTGCCACGTTGCTCAGCTGATGCTTCGCTGAAACCAACTCCACCAATCGCTTCTCGTTCCGGATAACACGGCGGGATGAATATAATTTGGTAAATATCCTGTTACAATCATCATCATGGAAAATCATCTGAAGCACAATCATTTTTCCAACTTTAGACAAATAAATATATTCTCAAGAGCTTCTATGGCTTCAGTGAGGTTTGATATCACCTACAAATAAGTTCCATACAAACCAAAGGCCAACCCCAAAATGTCATGTAGCCAATGGTAGCGATTTTCTCCACACAAACTCTTCATATCACCTCCATACGTCTTGAGACTCTTTGCTCACGGCTTCATGCATACGATAGGCACTGCAGTGAGCGATGCCTACGTCACCTTACGAGAATCTCACCAACTCTCGTCTCCTCATCCATCCTGAAGATGGAGAGACGAGAGGGAATCTCCTTTTTGTATGAAGACTGAATATTTTTTCTTTTTTGCACACGTGAACTCCATTCATGTCGTGAACTCCATTCATGTGGAAGGGATGTAGGCCGAGCCCGTCCGTTGACCTCAGATTCGCAAAAGCCTTCACGTTCCACATCGCTCAGCCGATGATTCCCTGAAACCGATCCACCTATCACTACACACCTATCGCTTCTCGATGAATCCTTCATAAACAAAGAATGACACTAGCTAGATGATGGGCAAAGGACACGATGCCTTCAGAGCTTTCATGAGGCAAATGCAAGATCTATCCCGATTTAACGTTATTAAAACCATTCGGGAACATTTCACCTCGTTATCTCCATAGACCTTGTTACTGTATATCGTGAAAATTAAATCCATATTCATTTGTCAGTCATTCCGGGAAACTCTTCCTAGACGGATGAACGAATTTTCATGAGTGAGGTGCCAGTGGAAAGCTTAGGATCTTGAGACGAAACTTATCAGGTCAAAAGCCCAAAAAAGTTCGCTACGGACGTTGTTGTCATGCGTCCTTCTACGTTTCTACGTATACGTCTACGTGTCGGAGTCCTTCACGGGTCAACTTTTCTGAGTTGAAACTCGATCGGTCCGATTCGAATCATGGCCCGCACCTGACCTAGAACTCGATCACTGACCGAGCTTTTTCTGTCCGAGCCGGGAATCGTGTTGGGCTGATCCGGCTGGCCCACGGCTAGCTTAGGCCACTAAGCTGGAGAACTTGAGGTCACTAATGATATATTTGCCACAAAGGGACGTCGGAGAGACACCTCGCTGACCTCCGCAGAAACGCACTTTTGGGAGGAACTGCTCGGAATGGAGGGCATGCTGCGCAAGAAGACAGTGTTGCGAAGAGAGACTGTGGCACGGGAAACTGCGCAATCGCGTAATCTGAATCTCATGAAAATACATACACCGAAAAAAACCTATTTCTTAGGGATTTGTTGTATGAAGTGAATGTTCGGCCATCTCTCAGTCTTATAAATAAAGGTAATGTATGAATGTGTTGAAGGCAAGTGATGAATGTATTTTTGTTTGTGTGTGACAGCGAGACAGGCAATATGCTTCGAAATGTGAACTGGGCGTTTCAACAGGAATCTCTCTTACCGGCCGAGGATTTGCCATTCCGAAATATAATTTGACGATGAGCCTTACGAGGGGGGTTGAGTTTAATTTCACGGAAAATCGAAGATTCGCTCTCGTCTCCCCATCTTCAGGATGGATGAGGCCTATGAGAATAGGCGTGGTACACGCAAGGTGACGTAGTCATCGCTCACCGCAGTGCCTCCCACACGCATGCTGCCATGAGGAGATGAGTCCCAAGCGTCCATGGTACAGTTTTTCCCAATTGCTAACGTCCGTTTCTCGAAACTATGCTTCTGTTTTCGAAATTATTTGAACAAATCTCTGCAAACTTTTCACAAAACTTAACATCCGATTTCATTGCTAACGAAAAGCGAAACGCGATGCGCGATTTTAATACCTTAATATCTTACGTACCTTTTTCGTAACCTAACGTATGGAAAAGGATAAGAAGACCGATTCGACGAGTGCGACGATGGATGCATGGCTGACGACGGCTATCTCTATCCTCCACAAATAATTTCAACCAATTACGAAGGTTTTCTCATCGTCCATAGTTGTTGGAGCTGAATGCTCCTTCTCAAACGTTGAAAGAGTGTCTTACGTCGATACAGCAATGTAGATGGCAGACAATAATGCTGACTGCTATTCAGAAGAATCCAAAATACCTGATCCTGAATATTTACTTACGATTAATTTCTGTAACAATATAATCAGCTAAAAAGGGTAGACAAGAGAGAAAAGAGGTAATTTCTGTTCATCATCAGATAAAAAATCGTTATTACCTTGGGACACATTTTCGTTTGTAGATATGAGAAATGAGAATTGGGAAAATCTCATCTTTGGATCTCCAAATCTTTCGAACTCATGCTTGCTCTATTGGCTCGTTGAGTGGTTTTTGACCGGATACAACGCCCTGCACCCTTTTGAATGACGGCACAACCCTTACGAAAATGTCTTATAGGAATCCTATAGGAACCTAAAGGAATTACATTTCTGAACATGGTGTCCGGAACAATACTTTCAGGCTTTCGAGGA